GTCAACTCTCTTCTATCTGAACGCCGGAAATCGACTTCTTTGCCCAGCGAATCACCATCAGTGCCGTCTAACGTACGTTGTGGCTAGGAAGGTGAGCACTACCCTAATGGGCGGGGAGCCACCGCTGCCATGAAGTGGAGCCGTCTTAGAGTGTATATATATATATATATATATATATATATAAGGTCCTCTTTTCCCTCTCTGCCTACGGTTTACCGGGCAGCTCTGTTTGACGATATATATATGTGTCGTCAAACAGAGCTGCCCGTTAAACCGTAGTAGGCAGAGAGGGAGAAAGGGAGAAGAGGACAACAAACGAGGGGCTGTGACAAACTGTTTCGTCGGAGTTTCGCCGACTCGCCAGCAGGCTGAACCCTCAACAGTCTGCAGAATCCCCTTCATGATTACACTGTAAGTCTGTAAGTGATAATCCACCTTAACCCCGGTTGTGGTTAAGCATCAACGACTATAGATATATATATTGTGTGTATGTGTGTGTGTGTGTGTGTGTGTGTGTGTGTGTGTGTGTGTGTGTGTGNNNGAGAGAGAGAGAGAGAGAGAGAGAGAGAGAGAGAGAGAGAGAGAGAGGTGAAGGGCATGAGAGGAACTGCTGCGGCGTTCAGATGGGAGGGATCCACGGCTTTTCCCTTGTGAATCGCTTTCACTATAGAGAACGTGAGAGAGAAGTGAAGGGCAGAAGAGGAATTGCTGGGGTTCGCGGGTACGGCGATTGTGCGTGCGAATTTCTCGTGATTTATTTCGGCGTCTTCTTGTTTGACGTGGTGTCTATTGTCCAGCGGTTGTTTGGATCCCACTGAATTAATGAGTGAAGCGGAGCATTCCCGAAGATCGCACGGCGAAACTGAGGGTGGATTGCATTTATGATGTATGAGTCTAGATTCGGAGCGATGGCGTAGTCCAAACTCGGAGTATCTTCGAAGGGTTTTATCTTATGTATGATTGACTTCACTGTGAGGACGTGTGCGTAGGAGGAGTATGGCGAGGTAGACGAATATATACATATATATTCATATCTATATATATCCATGGATATTTGTATGTATATATCGTCAAACAGATCAGCTTGGTAAAACGTGGCCAAGAGGACAAACGAGGGGCTGTCACAGACTGTTTATACATATATTAACATAAGGCCTCATGGTATTCGGAAGGGTCAAAGCATGATATGTACATGGAATCTTTCACGGGTGCGAGCTCAGAATAGAAGCTTATGGTTCATAGATAACGTACGGATCTCAACGATGCGACGGGGTTGAAGCTTCTGGAATCTGGGGGGTGAAACATGTCAGGGACAACCGTCTTCACTCGAATAGAACGCCCGGTAATTATCGCCGTATCTGGGCTGAAAGTTGTGCCGAATACAGCTATAATAACAGGGCGTTCTATTCGGGTGAAGACGGTAGCGTTGGGACATGCACGAAGTAAATTCGTCTTTAATTGTTCTTCGGTAATCCAATGAAAGGCGTTGATAAAGAACGAAGGAGTAGGTGCGAAGGAAAGCAGCTAGTCCTATGATTGACAGGGGTTGCTTGCGCATATACTTGTATGCTCTCTCGATCTTCTGATCTCTGATCTCAGATTAGGTGGCGATGGCATATGATCTATCATTCTGTCTACGAAACCGAACCGATGTAGAAGAGGAGGAGGTATGAACAGGTAACCATCCAAGGGCACACTCACAGTAGCACCTTCCGGAGGGTATGATTGCATAAAGCGAGGAGGAGGTAGTTCTGGTCCTTCTGGAAGCTTTTCCAATTCCATTGTCGAGCTCGTGTCTTTCTCTACATATTAACAGATTTGATAAGATCGCTATTTTTTGCGTCACTCGGACTCACAACTTTTCCTTTTCGACGGTCGATACAGTATGGACTGATCAGCATCGAAGGGCAAGGGCATACTCACAGTTGCACCTTCCTGAGCATGGGCTGGCTTGCCATTGGGCCGGAATTCAGTTGAAATACTTCGATTAAGAGTACGCGGTCTAAGATGCTAGAATAAGCGTCTGGTCTATTCGCTGTCAGCATTCCGCACAGCTAGGAAAAACTTACATTAGACTTGTTTACCGACTTCTGGACGGAATTGCCGCCAGATCGATCAAGGGCAAGCCGCAAAAAGGGTCAGATACATTTGAGATATTGCTAGCATGAGTACGTCCTTAGTCCGCCTCTCCGTCGCGGTTGAGCCCGACGATAAAAGAACGCATCAATCGTCATCGTCACCTAATCCCATTTGGCGCAAGAGCTCGCTCGAAGTTCGTGCGACTCGACAACGACGGTATGTAAGGAGCCGTCCGACTCCTGTCTTTTCCCTCACCCCTCATTCTCGTCAACCTCCTGTACTAACCTGACGATCGCCGAGATCCGGCGTCGGGCACCTTGCGGCGTGCGCTACGCTGGAGGAGGCCGGTAATGGGCGAGTCGGCCAGAACACAAGTCTGGTTTATGATAAATTCAATGTTGCGCTCTGGGGCCATTACTTTTCTTGTCTCTTTCTGTCGTGTTGCTTGTCATTCTGGTAGGTCTCTTATCTCTTGCTCTTCCTTATTTGTGATTGCCTGTGGTGTTGATTGGTTACTTGCGGTTTCCATATCAGTCGACCTGTTCGTCGCGTTGCCTTTTTTTTCGCCTTATTACCTCCTGTGATATGATCATCCTGGGGGATAGTTCTACAAGCGCTGGATCCCCCGAAAGGCTTGAGGCGCGGGGGGCATCTGTAACTTTTGCTACCAGTTTTCGGGGGTCTGTAGCATCTGTAACTTTTGCTACCAGTTTTCGGGGGTCTGTAGGACCGTTTACCACGGTCCAGGGGCAAACGAGTACAACTTTTCCCATCATCGTGCCATCGTGCGTCGATTGTGGTTGTGTGTAGGTCTGCGTCTATTGTGGTTGTGTGTAGGTCTGCGTCTATTGTGGTTGTGTGTAGGTATGGCTTGCCTGTAGATATAGCACAGGGGCTTCACAGTGGTCACCCATCCCAGTTCTAGCCCGGCCCACCCGCGCTTGGCGTCGGAGTTGGGATGGATAAGTCGTAGTTTGACCAGCCACAGCCGCACATTCGATGGCGTGTTCAGGAACTGGCAGCATGTAGTGCAGATGCTGGCGTAAGCAATTATTGCCACCACACAAGATTACTTTACATCAGATCACTATCTATATTGTTCATATTATATGATAGAGATTATGAAACGCAAAGTTGTGCGTTGGCAATACTGTGTACATATATCGATGTAATAATAAGATACATATACCGATGGTACTGTGTAGGGATTATATAGAGACATGTACCCCAAGAAAGGAAGGGCTTTGACAACGTGTTCATTTGTCTGTCACAGACTGATGGAGCATCGCCTCACAACCCACGAAACGGAAAAGGCCGAGTGCATCTTTTTCAGACAAGGCAAAAAGATTCATCCCCTACAATGAAAGTTCGCGTCTAAATGTATATATATATATATACTGCTACTTTTGTGGGAACACGCAGTCGCTTTTTGTTTCCATTTCGTCTCTTGTGTGGGCTGTGCCGTGGTCCATGAAGAGAGACAGTAGCATCCGGTACAACACGTTAACACACTTTGATCACTTATTTTTTTCTGCTGTTTGTATTGTGAAGGTGCATGTGGAATGGCCAAGGGTTTTGCGGAATCACATGGGCGCCTGTCATCACGGAGTCTTCTGCATCCCGAGTGACGACCCGCGGCAGCTTTCAGTTCGGACTTGTGCTTACTGTGGGCTTCCTTCCGTGATGGTAACGCGACTGATCGGCGCCGAATGATTGTCTGATCTCTTGGCGAAGCATTCTCTTTGTCAATCCGCTCTTGTATTTGTATTTGGGTACCAACTCTCTTAGTTGGAACCTACGGTTACTCTGGGGGCTCTGTCCCGGATGGGGAAGCGACTGTGACATTGTGACTGTGTGTGTGTGTGTGTGTGTGTGTGTGTGTCGTTTTTATTTCTGTGTTTAGCCTCGTCTTACGATCGGAATGCGTAAACTGCACATCTCGGGTGTAGCCTATTTCTTTTCCGTTTTTCCCTTTCCTTAATCTCTCAATGAGATGGTTCGCAACAGTCAGCGAAAAACACAACCTGTTATGTGTTTTAAACCCTGGCACAATTGTTCGGTTGGGTCATTGGGACGAGTTCGGTTTTTGTTTCTGTTTTTGTGTTTCGATTGATGGATGATGTCTTCTTGTATCTATGGTAGTACAGTGATATAATACATTCGGGAAAGTAACTGTGAATTTTCGTTTGCCCTGGCACAATTGTTCGATTGCCACGGGGAACGAATTCGGTTTCTTTTTTTGTGTTTGGGTTTTGATTGATGTCTTCCACCATATGTGGTAATACGACGGTATATTAGATTCGGCAAAAAAAAATTGTGACTTGCTCTCCTGGATAGAGTAGATGGCACTCAGGATATATCCGTACTCGAATCCGGGCACGTCAATAGCGTTTAAGAATTTTCGTCGCCGACCGGTAGATCAGATGCACCTACAATAATGTTTCGTTAGACGCCTTCGGTGTGAAGTTGTAGAGTAATTATCTTCCTTGAGTAGACGAGACGACGGAGACGTGCTTTCACCAGGGAAACGCATCCCGTAGATCAGGCTGACAACGTTTGGCTCTAGCAGGAAATTCTGTGACCTTTTGTCGGTGTATTCCGGTACAGCATATGAGGGTAGGTTGTTGAGCAAAACACAGTAGCTGAGGGCGGAGCTTGAAGTTTCATCCAATTGCTGCTGCTGTGGGTGTATGCGGAAAAGGTGAGTGTAAGGTACTCACAACAGACCAGCCTATCTCACTGACTGTAGCAAAACGGAGAACGGTCAAATCCGCCGGGAAAAAACACACATACACGATACACAATCTCTGCGTCGCTGTACGGACAGCTGCCACGAGACGGTGGCGTTCCTCAAGCCAGTCTAATTTGATGGAAGGTCGGCAGGGCGCGTGCGTCTACGTTACGGATTTCCCCGTGGATGACCGTGCAAACAGTCGTCCCGGGCATGCCCGTGCAAGTCGTGATAGCGGTAGTTCGACTGGGTCAATGGCGGAGTTCCGAGAGGTCTCTGCGAGCAGTCTTACGGGCGATGGCCACGGATGTCGAGACATGTCTGCCACTGCAGACAGTCCTGATCTACCCTGCGACGGGGAAAGAAGCCCTCTTTGGAACTCAGCGGAGGCCCGAAATGAGAGGAATGCGTTGGAGAAGGGAAATACAAGGATGAGGGGGGGGGACCGTCCTAGAGAACAACAAGATGGCGGCGCCGGCCGTGGCACTGGTTCAGGTGGCCATGGTGGTCGCGGTGACGGTGGATTTGAAAGAAGGAACTCTGCCGCCAGTGAAGGGATTTCAGATTTTCCTAGCACCGGCGCAGCGGACAGGTTCACTCCGGCGGACAGGGACGGGTGCTCCTACTGGAATCCGGGGGAGGAGCGAAAGGAGGGAATGAGGGATTCGGACAGTCCCGGAGAACCGCCATGTGGCGGCAGCGGCCGTGGCAATGGTGCAGGTGGTTATGGTGGCGGCGGTGAAATTTGGAACTCGGCCACTTGTCAAGCCACCTCAGATCTGCCTCTTGCAGGCGGAGTAGACAGGTTCACTTCAGCGAACAGGGACGGGTGCCCTCTCTGGAAACCGGAGGAAGAGCGAAATGAGAGGATGAGGGATTTGGAGCATCCCGGAGAAGAACAATTCGGCGGCGGCGGCGGCGGCGGCCGCAGCCGTGGCAGTAGTGCAGGTGGTTATGGTGGTCGTGGTGAGGGTGGATTGGACATAAGGAGAGAGGGAGAGAGGGCACACACCTCAGATCTGCCTGATGCCGGCGCATCCAACAGGTTCACTCCAGCGAACAGAGACGGGCGCCCTCCCTGGATTCCGGGGGAGGGGCGAGATGACAGGATGAGGGATATGGAGCGTCCTGGAGAACATGAATGCGTTGGCGGGGGCGGCCGTGGCCGTGGTGCAGGTGGTTATGATGACCGTGGTGACGGTGGACTGGAAAGGAGAGAGGGAGAGGGGGCACGCACTTCAGATCTGCCTGATGCCGGGGCAGCCGAGAGGTTCACTCCAGCGAACAGGGCCGGGTGCAATCCCTGGAATCCGGGGCAGGAGCGAAATGAGAGGATGAGGGATTCGGACCGTCGCAGAGAACAAGAATTCGGCGCTGCCGGGGGCGTCGGTGGCGGTCGTGGCGGTGGTGCAAGTGGTTATTATGGTCGCGCTGACAGTGGATTCGAAAATTGGAACTCTGCCAGCAGTGAAGGCCCTGTATATGTGCCTCATGCCTGCGGAGCCGACAGGTTCACTCCAGCCAACAGGGACCCTCGCTGGAACTCCTGGGAGGAGCAACAGGAGAGGCAGAGGGATTTGGACCGTCGCGGAGAACAACAATGCGGAAGCGGCGGCGGCGGCGGCCGTGGCAGTGGTGCAGGTGGTTATGGTGGTGGTGGTTACGGTGGATCCGACAGAAGGAACAATGCCACCAGGGACGGCACTTCAGTTCTGCCTGGTGCCGGCGCAGTCGATAGGTTCTTTCCGACGGACAGGGACGGGTACCCTCGCTTGAACTACCAAGAGGAGCGACATGAGAGGATGAGGGATTTGGACAGTCCCGGAGGGCAACAGTACGGCACCGGAGGTCGTGGCAGAGCTGGTGGTCAGGTTTTCAAACTGAGCTCTCAGGTGATCAAACTGAGCGCTCTAGGGCGCGTGGCCCGTCTCGGAGACCTGTACGACATATGCACCGACACGTTCTGCCAAGACTATGGCCAGAGCGTCAGAGCCCTGTCGACGGACCGCTTCAGCCAGGTCACGAAGGCATGTCCATCACTTAATGTGAGTTACGTACTCGATGACGGTGCATCAACAAGGTTTCAAACCCTGGGTGTCAGCTCTCAGCTCAAGCTGAGCATACTTGGCCGTCTGTTCTCTCCTGAGGGAGCAGGAAGATACTTAGTGGATAGAAGCCCGGCTACAGGCGGAGAGACGGGGGGCGTCAAGGCGACTCTCTTCTGCCAGGTCATCGCGAGCGAGCACCAGTTCGACCTCTGCTCCGCTTCCCCTCAAGAGCTGTCGAGAGAGGTCGAGCACGTCCTCGACAGAAATGGCCACGCCACGGCGAGGGCTACTCATTTTGTGAGGGGGATCGTGTTTGGGGCTACCCTCGTGGCGTCCGTAACTTCGGGCCGGCCACGTGGGAATCGTGCAATGTCTTCAATGGATCGCCTTCGGGCGCACCTGAGCAGACGTCTAGCTGGCCTTCAGGCATCGATGAACCATCTCGAGGGTCATCCTGGCCGGCGCGAGGACTGGGTGGGCGGAGGCCAAGAGGAAGACGAAGACGACAGGGCTTTCAGTGTGAGGATCTTTGCCGACTTCCTTCAGCAAGGACGTGAGCGAGGGACTCCTAGAACCCTGCGAGACCTGGAAGACGATCTGAGGTACGCTGCACAAATTCGCGCGCAGAATCAAGGGCAGGCTGTTCCCGTCATCATCTACTTGTCGCCGTTATCGGATGTGCTGCACTCCACGACTGCTGGCAGACGGCTACCGTGGGATGGTCCATCGCAGCTGCCACTGCATCCGGACGAAGACACCATCGCTAGAACCGAGCTACTTCTCCAGGAGCTTAATGACGTTCAGGCAGAGGTGGATTCCCTCCTCTACGACATGGATAGCGCCATACGCTGTTGTGGCAAACATGCGATCAACGTTTCGGACATCTATTGCGTGTGGGACGTAAGGGGAAGACTATCAAGCAGACTGGAAGAACTCGTCCAGCAGGTGCGTGAGCTGACAGTCGGCATTCGGAGATCGCAGGGGAGGCAGGACTCGAGTGCAATGAGGTCGATGTTGGAGGCCTTCCGGTTCAGGTTGGGGTTACCTAGCCTGCGCGATCTGCTGGCGGCACGAAGGGCTTGTTTCGAGGAGAGGAGGGCGTTCCTCAATGACCTCCAACGCAACGGCATCACCTTCACCGCCACGCTGGACTGTGATGAACAGATGACCGAACTCCACATACTGTCAAAACACAAAGACGACAGCGTTTATATTTTGGTGCATCACAAAGAAGCGCCTTACGGCGAGATTTGGCGAAAGCACATGGACATGCTGAAGCAGGTGGCGGGTGAAAGCAAGAGTTCCCAAGCACATGGCGAAGGAGAAATCGGGAGGTTCACCCCGGGTCCTCGAGCTGCGGCTCCAGGGAGCGAGGGCAGCAGAATGGATTCTGGTCCTTTCTTCGTCTATTTGGAGCTCCAAAAGGATGACTCTCAAGACGGAGGTGGGCGGGTGCCTGACGAGGAAGATCGTCTCCCAAGGACGGTGATAAGGTTTTATCAGAGCGGCGTATTGATGCAGGACGACTTTGCAGCACATATGGAAACAATCGGCACACTTTGCCTAGTCAAATGCAGGGAAATTGTGAAGATCGCCACCGAGGAGTTGAATTCCGGGCAGGGTGGTCCTCAGAAGAGGACTGCACCCCTTCGTATCAAATGTCCTGGAGCTGTGTATGGCAAGTGCGCTTCAACCATCCAGGACTGGCACTGCGACGAGTGTTACGTTCAAGTGGAATACGATTGGAATGGCCACGTATCCTGTAATTGCGGTCGCTCCCCTCTCCAGTATCTCTCCTATTTGTGCCGACACCCGAACCACCGTGAGCAGTACATGCGATACAGCCCGATGGATGACCTGACAACGGACCTGAACAAGCTGGAGATGCGGAAGGAGATCAACATCCTGCTGCTGGGTGAGACGGGTGTGGGTAAGTCCACATTCATCAACGCCTTCGCCAATTATTTGAGTTTTGACGAGATGGAACTTGCCAAGGATGGCCTTATGACACTGATACCCTCGCAGTTCACGGTGTGCAAGGAGGATGACTATAACGGAGTACTGGTGTCCATCGGCAAAAAGGACGACAACGAGGAAGCCAGTGCAGGCAAGTCCTGCACGCAATCCTGCAAAGCCTATCTGTTCAACTACGCGGAGTACCGGATCCGTCTGATCGACACTCCGGGCATCGGTGACACTCGTGGCATCGAACAGGACAAGAAGAACTTTGACAACATCCTACGGTTCCTGAGCCATTACAAGCTGATCCACGGCATCTGCATCCTGTTGAAGCCCAACAATGCCAGACTGAACGTTCTCTTCCGGTTCTGCATCAACGAGTTGCTGTGCCATATCCACAAGAGCGCCAAGGACAACATCGCTTTCGTCTTCACCAACGCCCGCTCCACCTTCTATCGACCCGGAGATACAATGCCGCCATTGATGGAGATGCTCAAGAAGGTCCGCCACTCGCCTCCCCACGTTGACATTGAGCTGAGCAAGCAAACTATCTACTGCTTGGACAACGAGTCCTTTCGGTTCCTGGCGGCCGTCAATCAGGACCTAAGATTTACCAAGCAGGAGACAGAAGACTTCGCGAGGAGCTGGACGGTGTCCGTCACTGAATGTAGAAGGCTCATTGAGTACATAGTGAGTCGACCACCGCACCAAGTGCAGGACACCGTTTCCATCAACGAGGCCCGTCGTCTCATATTGCAACTAGCGATGCCACTCGGCGACATCAGCAAGGTCATCCAGATCAACAAGAAGCTTATTGATGAGAAGATGTCCGAAGATGTGTCACACATCAAGCACATCTCGGAGCTCAGGAAGATATCGTTTGTACCATGCGTGGATCTGCAGTACGTCGAGCTCAAACAGCCACACACAGTGTGTGCGGCTGACTGCTGTCGAGAGGTCATCACCGTGGGCGGCCTGGCGAAGTATAATTACAAGACTCGTTGTCACACCCCTTGCCACTTAACTAACGTGGAAAAGGAAACGCCAAACAACCCTGAAATAATGAGCTGCTGGGCAATTCAACCGGATGGGACGTGTCGTAAGTGTGGATGTCAATGGCAATTTCACATGCACGTCCTCCATGAGACAACACTTGTTCAATCCCAGCAGCGGGATGACAGCGTCCACGAGAGGATCACAACCCTGGAAGAGGCAAGAGCACGGCATGGAAGGTTTATTGCCCAGCTGAAGGAAAAGTCCGCGAAGTTGGATAAAGAGCAAGAGACCATATCCAGGACCCTTGCACGATTTGCTGTTTTCCTGAAGGCCAATGCTATCACGCCTTACAACGACTCAACGTTGGAGTACTTACGCCATCTGATTGACGAGGAGAGAGGCCTTCAGGATGCTGGAAAGGGCAACTCTGCAGTTCTTGAAGGACTGACCAAGCTAAGGGCCGGCTATGAGGAGGAGGTCAGAATCCTTACCGCTGCCATGAGTGATCATTCAGCGTCATCAGCTTCAGGCCCTCGCATTACTCCCGAGGAGATCAAGAGGAGTGTTGAGCAGTTGTTTTCACTAGAGATCAATGGCGCAAACATCAAGCTCGCAATGAAGAACCTTGAGAAGGCCCACGATAACCACCGCATAGAAATGATGGTTTGGACTCTGAGGCCGGGTCTGAGGGCGAAGAAACCTCCTGGCGGGGAAAACGATCATCCACATGGCAAGAACCATTGGTTTCCTTTCGGCCGACAGGGAAGAAGCACAGACAGACAAGGCGGACGGGGGACAAAGCCAGCGGGCGCACGAGGACCATACAAACCTGGAGGCAGCTACAGCATGCCTGACTGGCCCGGCCACGTGGGATTTCAAGGAGGTGCCAGCAGTTATCAGTATCGTGAAGAACCCCTGGGCTTCAAAAGACATGGGGACGACTTTGGCATGCAGCTACGGGGGGGAACTGAGAGTTATAGTGAAGGCACCCGTTACAGGGAGGATGACAAGGACACATTCGACCATTATGGGGGAAGCGGGGTTTATGGGGGTGATGACCACGGGCAAGAAAGCGGGGACTGGTTTGGTGGCTATGGATATGGCTTTGGTGGCGCTGGTAGAGATGTTCAGAGACGAGATGTAGAGTATGGGAATAACTCCTATTCACCATTGGCTGCCCGCACACCTCCAGGGTCACAGTACAATGGTGTGGAGAGGTGGACGGATGCTTTGGAAAGGCGGACCCATGTAAGGGACTGCGGAGGTGCGTCTTCTCACACGACTCAAGGACAATTGTACAATAACGCGGGACGGATGATGCATCTGGGGGAACACACAGGTGGCACTAGTGGATGGGGAAGTGAGCGGGAAGGGATAGGTGGCCCTAGTGGACGAGGGCGAGGTGAGCCTGCAACGACACCACCGTCATCACAGGATGTTGGCCAACAAGGTAAGTCCTCCACACGACCACCAAGCTCGTCAGGGAAAAAGTCGCTCTTTGGATGGCTGCCTTGGAGGTAAACAGTTATGACACTCCTGGAGAGGTCTGCACCGTTGTGCCAAAGGCGGTGCCTTTTGGACAGAATACCTGCAGATAACCCTTGTGGATGATGTGTTCGACTGCTGCTGCTTGTGGATGTGTCCGACTGCTCGTCCATCCTCAGCCTAGATCAAGCGAGACTCACACACTGGAGGAGAGGAATGTACGTGACGCAGGGTTATGTGCTATATGGGCTGAAACTGATACTGTGATCCATCAACACGTATTCCGCCAGGAGACCACCAGTACTTTGCCCAGCTACTGATGCTAAGCCTAAAAACTCCCTGCGCGCCCTTTCATCCCAAACAGCCAGTGCAACAAAGGTTTTTATTTTGGCTGGCGCCACGCCGCCACCAGCCATTGGGGTCCAGTAGCCCAGGCGCCCGAAAGTCGCGCTGCGTCAACGACAAGCGGCCGCGGCCAATGTATGGGCCAGAGACTGGTGGTTTAATAGGGGTGGGGCAGTGGTGCTGCAGACTTCGCTGCTTGAAGCCGTAGGTCGGAGGGCACTTCCCTAACTTTGGGTGTGCATCTAGGCATTGCTGATGACATGGACGGGACTGCTTAGCCTACATGGAACTTGAACCAATTTTCTCCTGAAATCCTTGGCATACACGTATTGAAAGGCCGCAGCTCCCGGTTAAAATCCCTGATGAGAAATCGGGGATGAGCCTCAGCTTGCACCAACTGTGGGTCTGCTTGTGATGGAAGGCAAGCATCAGAACAAAACGGTAACCCAAATAGGGAGGAAAAGGGATGCGGACCAAGTCCCATTTACTCGAATTCTCAATTTCTGACCATAGATTATGACGATCAACAGTCAGAAATGAAGAATCAGCAGAGAAGTGGGACTTGGACCCGGGTAAGGGCGAGTGGTTAGCATCAGCTGGGGAATTTTTAAGTCGGCAAATTTAATGTCTAAGGTGCAGGAAACTACCTATATTACGGGACTAAGGGGAAAATTTCATTCCTTTCCACTTGGTTATTCACCAAAGACAAACATACATATATGATGGCTGGCCTCTCCGTCACTCACTCAGCATTATGGATAGTTTGAGGAATATGTTCACCGTCACGTAATTTTGAGTTTGAATTACGGTGTTCTCCTTGCGTGTCGTGTTTTATTTTCAAGAAATTTTCATCAAAGTAACTTCCTGATGCTGATGGTTTTCAAACCGCACTCTACCCTTTGTCATCATAATTTCTAATAGCATTTGTTTGTACCCAAATGTGGCGAAAAGTGTGAACTTGCACGGCATTATTGCACCCTGGTTGGGGCGATAACGGCATTAGTGCAGATGTGCAAAAATGTCAGGAAGGTTTTTTTCAGGCCTTACCAGGGTGCAAAAATGAACCGGGTGAACAAATACAAAGGTTCTTCCCGGGGGGTGGGGAGTCATGACTTCTCCCAAACGAGAAGAGGTGATCCTTGTGCTGCCGTGGCCCGTTGGCTGATTGGAGGCACTCATCCACCTGCTCCTCCTCCCCCTCGTCTGCCTCCCCTTCCTGCTCATCATCCTCCTCCCCACATCCAATAAAAAAAATGGACGAGAAAATAAAAAAGACACCAGAAAAGAAAGACAAACGTCTTCCTCTTCCACCTCCTGCACCTCCTGCTCCACCACCCTCCCCACCTCTTCCTCGTACGGTCTCACCCCTCCCCGCGACATCATCATACTCCCTTACACGACCAGATAAAAAAAAACAAAAGAAGTGACCAAAATAGAAGAAAAAGTTGACCCTCCTGCTATGTATCCCCCATGGCCGCGGCTGCGGGGTCGGGCACGGAGGGCGGCCATGTTCATGGCCGCATCCGCGGCTGGAGTCTGCCACACCGCAGCCACTTTTACATGATTTTTCCCATAAAAAAATAATAGGCAAAAAAAAAAGGGGGTTGTAGGGTTTTTTAAAAGGAAACAATGAATTTTATGGAATTATAAAAAGAGGTTGTAGGGGTTGTAGGGTTTTTTAAACCCTACAACCCCAACTTTTTAAAAGAAAACAATGAATTTTATGGAATTATAAAAAATATAAAACAAAAAAGATGGGGAGAAGAAATTTAAAAGAAAAGCAAAAAAAAAGAGGTTGTTTTTTGGGGGGGGGGGGTTGTTTAGCAGTTTTTTGTCGTCTTCAATTTTATGTATTTTTTGTTTTTTTTTGGTTGTGTAATAAGAAAAAGATCAGGGAATGAAAAAAATAAAAATAAAATAGTACTGTTATTTTGCAATGACAATTAGTATGTGTGTGTGTGTGTGTGTGTGTGTGTGTGTGTGTGTGTGTGTGTG